AAGTAAGAGGTCCTCAGTTCTGTATCCTGATGCTGACAGTGATTCCAGGAATCTGTACATGTGATAAAACTGCAGAGAACACACACACACAAACACACACACACACACAGACACACGTGCACATAAAAACTGCTGAAATGTTTAGTATGTAATCTAGTGAATAGTACTGTACCAATGTCAATTTCCTGCTTTGAGACTGTATAGAGCAGCAATCCTCAACCCACTGGGGACATCTGCATCTGACAATATCTAGAGACATTTTTGGTTGTCACATCTAAGAGGAGGGTGCTACTGGAGGCCAGGGGGTTAAGACCAGGAAGGCTGCTAAACATCCTGCAATGCACAGGACAGCCCCTCCATCCCACCCCCACAGCACACACTATTGGCACAAAACGTCCATACTGCCAAGGTAGAGCAATCCTGCACTGGAGTTCTAGGAAGTGTTATCATTGGGGTACACAGGACCTCACTGTACTATGTTTGCAATTGCCTGTGAGTCTATAATTGTCTCAAAACAGAAGATTTTAAAAATTCTTTAAAGATCCCACTCTGTTGAGCATATCAGAGCTCTTCTTCTCCAGGAACCTGTCAGCCCCTCATGGAAAATGCAATGGTCTCAATTAACCAAAGGATTCAGCTGCCCAAGCTACCTCCAGGAGAATGTCAACATGGGCCATCCACCGCACATTTCTGTGGTGGCATTAAGGGAGAGCCATGGGTCAGGGACAAATTCACACTAAGATCAAGTCCCCAGTGTCCTAGGTTCCTTAAGCAAACCTTCCTCTGGGATTAGGACAAGACTCCTTCCAGAGTCTGCCACACAGAACATTTGCCTTCCATCTTCCCTTGAGCCTGACCTTGATGCAAGACAAGAGCTATCTGAAAAAGATGTTATCGTCTATAAAGACAAAGCAATTAATTGACTTTTAAATTAGTTATATACACATTTACCTCTTATCCATCTCTAAATCCAACCCCTCACTCTCAGGTTAGTCCTGCAGAGCCTGCTACGTAGCACGCATCAGCCACCCCGTGGAGCCGGGTCCGGAAGCCCACACTACACACCCCAGTACAAGGTTCCTTCCTCTATCGATGTCTCCCCACGACCTGATGACCAGCTGCATGTGAGACATTCCAATGCAGGAATGAATTTTCTCAGCCCAGTGTCACTGAATACAACTACCACTGACTGCCCTGATCGAGTCATTCTTAAACCAGTCTCCTCCACTTAAGAGTCCAGGGTGGAACACACAAAAATAGACTCAAAATGGATGAAAGACCTAAATGTGAGACATGTGACCTAAATGTGAGACAGGAGTCCATCAAAATCCTAGAGGAGAACACAGGCAGCAACCTCTTTGACCTCAGCCACAGCAATTTTTAAAGAATTTTTAAATTCTTCTTCCTAGAAACATCACCAAAGGCAAGGGGAGCAAGGGCAAAAATGAACTATTGGGAGTTCATCAAGATAAAAAGCTTTTACACAGCAAAGTAAACAGTCCACAAAACCAAAAGACAACCGACAGAATGGGAGAAGATATTTGCAAACGACATATCAGATAAAGGGCTAGTATCCAAAATCTCTAAAGAACTTATCAAACTCAACACCCAAAGAACAAATAATCCAATCAAGAAATGGGCAGAAGACATGAACAGACATTTCTCCAAAGAAGACATCCAAATGGCCAACAGACACATGAAAAAGTGCTCAACATCTCTGGGCATCAGGGAAATCCAAATCAAAACCTCAATGAGATACCACCTCACACCCGTCAGAATGGCGAAAATTAACAAGTCAGGAAACGACAGATGTTGGCGGGGATGCGGAGAAAGGGGAACCCTCCTACACTGTTGGTGGGAATGCAAGCTGGTGCAACCCCTCTGGAAAACAGTATGGAGGTTCCTCAAACAGTTGAAAAGAGAGCTACCCTACGATCCAGCAATTGCACTACCGGGTATTTACCCCAAAGATACAAATGTAGGGACCTGAAGGGGTACGTGCACCCCAATGTTTATAGCAGCAATGTCCACAAGAGCCAAACTGTGGAAAGAGCCAAGATGTCCATCGACAGATGAATGGATAAAGAAGAGGTGGTATATATACACAATGGAATATTATGCAGCCATCAAAAGGAATGAGATCTTGCCATTTGCAACGACGTGGATGGAACTGGAGGGTGTTATGCTGAGCGAAATAAGTCAATCAGAGAAAGACATGTATCATATGACCTCACTGATATGAGGACTTCTTAATCTCAGGAAACAAACTGAGGGTTGCTGGAGTGGTGGGGGGTGGGAGGGATGGGGTGGCTGGGTGATAGACATTGGGGAGGGTATGTGCTACGGTGAGCGCTGTGAATTGTGCAAGACTGTTGAATCACAGACCTGTACTTCTGAAACAAATAATGCAACATATGTTAAGAAAAAAGAAAAAGAAGAAGATAGCAGGAGGGGAAGAATGAAGGGGAGTAAGTCGGAGGGGGAGACGAACCATGAGAAGCTATGGACTCTGAAAAACAAACTGAGGGTTCTAGAGGGGAGGGGGGTGGGGGGATGGGCTGGCCTGGTGATGGGTATTAAAGAGGGCACGTTCTGCGTGGAGCACTGGGTGTTATGCACAAACAATGAATCATGGAACACTACATCGAAAACTAATGATGTCATGTATGGTGATTAACATAATACAATAAAATTTTTTAAAAAAAGACTCCAGGGTGGAGGGTCCCACTGGCCAAACACCCAAAAACATGGGGAAAAAAGAGTACAGGAGTCTTGAGTTGGGATAAATGTCCCACTTGGCTTGTCCTAGGTGGTAGGCTTTTAAAACCCCACACAGATCATTAGAAAGAGTGGCAGGCCTGGGGAGGCAGCTGTCCCAGGAGGCCTCAAAGCTGAGTCTCTGGAATTTCCAAGAACATTTTTCCAGTTTGGGGATTAGCAGTCCAGCCCTCAGCACAACTGTGATCCCTTTTTCAAAGTCCCCCAACTTCTGTGCTGTCTACAGGGGCAGGGGATGACCTGCGCTCTCTACTCCCAGGACCTCACCCAGCACCTGGCATTGAACAGGTTCTTGGTAACCACCTGCAGAACGAATGAATGGCTCACAGATGGACTAGCACAACCATCAGCTGACACACTGAAAGCTTTTGTGGAAAAGCTGAGGGTATGTGCTATGGTGAGCGCTGGGAATTGTATAAGACTGTTGAATCACAGACCTGTACCCCTGAAACAAATAATACATTATATGTTAACTAAAAATAAATAAATAAATAAATAAATAGTAACTACCTTAAAACATTTTAAAAAATTAAAAAATAACAAAATAAAATAAAGCACCTGACCAAGTAAAGAGAGGTAGCAGGTGCAGGCGTCCTTTGCAGATGAAGACACCAAGTCCCAGGACGCTGAGTGCTGAGCCCCCAGACCTGGGTATGAAGTATGGTCTTCAGACTCAGTCTGGGCTTCTTCCACACTCCCCCTGCACTCCCTCCAGCAAGTACCAGATCCCCACATACGTGTCTCCCATCCACCATGCCCAGCACTGCGCTAATCACACAGCAGATACCAAAAACCAAAAACACATGCAAATCTGATTCAAACTATCAAACAAGAAAGGCCTTGAGTTAAAAATAAGCACAGAAGGGCTTTCAAATCTCCTAAGCCAGCAAGTGACACTAAGTTACTTAAACTGTCAGCGCCTACGGTCCCTCATCTGTAAAACAAAAAGAACACCCACCCCTCAGAGCCACTGAAAGAATTAGACGAGACAGTTGTACATGAAGCTCCTAACAGAGTCCCAGCAGATGTTCTCCAAACATGACTGTCTCTTCCTACTCCTATTGAACCGCTGTGGTTTTACACATCTTAATTCCCATAATTCCCCAGAAGATATTGGAAATTCTGGATGGTTCTGTTGGGGGTCACACAACTAAAAGAACTGCCCGCCCATTGGCAGAGTCGCTCACAAGCTGGAGCACGGCAGGATGCACCCCCACCTCCACACATGTGCAGCGTGGCTGCTGAGATGGGTCGACACATTCAAGAGATCTGTGTCTCCACCTCCTCCCCTCTCCCGCTGCCTCCTGCTGACTTTCTGAAGACTTGAACCAAACAAAAGCAATTCCTTCCATGCCAGGAGCGGTGTAACGGTGCCACCAGCATGTATCTCCTTTCAAGGAAGGCCATTACAGGGCCAGAGAATTTGGCTACAATCCTGCTCACTCCCCAGTGCTGAAATACTAGGACCCTCTGCAATTTGAGCAAAGAACACTTGGAACAATTAAGAGAAAAGTCTCCCCTTCACAAGGAGTGAAACCGAATGGAAGTCATTTGCCAAGACAGGGCTGGCAGAGACGCATGGATGGGAGAAGGGTGTGCGGACGGATGGAAGGCGGGCACTGCAAGCTGCCAGGCGCCCCTGGGCTTTCCCTCGTCTGCAGCCCGCCCCCTCTCCACGGGGACTGGAGCCTCCCCAGCAGAGGCTCTGCCATCCTGCCCCACCTGGGCAGAGGATTCCAGGGACCCACAGAAAGCGGGAGGGAGGGAGCTGAGAGGCGCGCTGGCTGGGTAAAGGCCCACTGCTGAGCTTCCCCCCAGGAGGCCGTCTTGCCAAAGCCTGCCAGCCCTTCACGTGGCCAAATCGTAAATTCACTCCCAAGAAGTGTAGGAAGACTGTAGCGGTGTCGGGCGGAAAGAGCCTCTGCCCAGCCCATTTCAGACCTGGGCCACCAGCTCAGCAGGCAGCTTCCCCACTCCGCCTCCACCTGCGGGGGAAACGCCGTCCGGTGTCGGTCCGGGAAGTTCCGAGAGGCCAAAGGGATGCGCGACGCAGTCCCCAGGGAGGCGGCGGGGGGTGGGGGGGCGCGATGGGTGGGTTCGGGGGCTCTGGCGTCGCCGACCCACAGGCCTGAAAGCCAGCTGTCCCCTCAGACCAGCCAGCCGCTGGGAGAGGCGCGCAGCCACGGGCGCCCCCTCGGGCCGCCCCGCGCACAGTTACTTACCTGGTGGAGGCGTCTCTGGAGCCAACTTGTCCCTCTTGGGCGCTTTCTTGGGCTTGGTCGCCTTCTTGGGCGGCCTGGGCTCCGGCGGACGCGGCTCCCGCTCCCGCTCCCCGTCCCCGGTCCCCGCGGGCAGCGGCGGCGAGAAGGGCTCGGGCTCGGGCTCCCGGCGCGCGTAGTAGGGCTCCCGGCTCCAGGTCTCCTGCACGTAGTAGTCCGGGGCCTGGAGGGCTGCGCCCTGGGCGCCCACCCCGGCCAGGACCACCGCCAGCAACGCGAGGGCCAGTGCCAGCGCGGCAGCCCCCCGGCGGGCCATGCCCGCTCGGCCCCGCGCCCCACGCAGGG